GGTGGCCCCGGCGGGAAGGGAGACGGCGCCGCGGCCTTCAGCGGGAAGGAAGGCGACACGGGGTGGAAGGTGCCCAGGAGCTCCCCGGCCTGCAGACTCTCCTTGAGCAGCTCCTGCGAGTGCGTCTTCTTTGTGTGCCTCGTGAGGTGGTCCTTGCGCCCGAACCTCTGCGCGCAGAACTGGCACAGGAAGTCCTTGCAGCCCGTGTGCACCACCAGGTGGCGCCGCACGTCCTTCCGGGTGTAGAAGCAGCGCTCGCAGTGGTCGCACTGGTGCTTCTTCTCCTTGGCGGTGCTGGGCGGCTTCTCCTCCGCGTGGGCCTTCAGGTGGTCCAGCAGCACCTCGGTACTCCCCAGCTCCAGGGCGCAGACGCCGCAGGTGAGGTCCCCGGCGCTGGCCGCGTGCAGGGCCAGGTGCCGCTTGTAGCCCAGCATGGTGTTGTACTTCTTCCCGCACTCCTCGCACCCGAAGGCCATCTTGTTGGGGTCGTGAGTCTGGAGGTGGTTCTTCAGGTGGTCCTTCCGGTTGAACGTCTTCTCGCAGTGAGCGCACTGGTGAGATTTCTGGGGAGAGTGGGTAGCCATGTGCCTAGGGTGGAAGCAAGCATTGCACAGTAGGAGTTGGAGAAGGGTGCGGAAATAATAGCACCCCAGAATGTTAAAAGTTTGGTGCATTTTCACTTTAAAACTATATTTCTGTACTTCCCAAATACATAAAATTGGATCATTGAAAACCAAGAACTTCCCAGACATCGTGGCGCACACCTGGAATCCCAGCACTCTGGGGGGCTGAGGCAGGAAGATCACAGATTTGAGCCCAACAGTAAGACCCTGCCTCAAAATAAAAATAAAAAGGGCTGGGGATACAGATCAGTGTGCAGGCCCTGGGTTCAATCCCCAGGGCTGAAAACAAGCAAGACAAAACAGTAACGACAAACCCAAGGACTACTAAAGCATAATGCAATTTTCATACCCAGAAGAAGTGTCTTTTGAGAAGATAATGTGTCTTGCTAATGTATACAGATTTCTAAACAAATACAAGTTTTAAAAGGATGTGATGAAAAATATTTTCCAGAAGGGGGTTAAATAGGTATTTGATGCTCTTTGAAAATTACTGAATTTCCAAGTTACCCAATATACCTTGTACCCACGTAAAACGTTTCAGCTCCAAGTTTTACACTGTTGTTCCAAATGTAATTAGTCTATAGTCTCTATTTAATAAGATACGGTGTGTAGCCCAGAGACTGAGGACTGTTAGGAGCTTTTTAAGTCTTTCCTTAGCCAGGAGAGTGGCGAATGCCTGTAATCCCATCTACAAGGAAGGCTGAAGCGGGACAGTGGCAAGTTTGAAGCTAGCCTGAGAAACTTAGAGAGACCCTGTCTCGGTATAAGATTTAAAAAGAGGTTCAGGTCTCCCTGGTTCAGTCTCCAGTACTGGAAGCAACAACAAAACCTATCCTTAACTTTGGAGAAAGTATGTAATTGGAACCCACTTTTTAAAAACTTCATCTAATGACTGAATCACCAAGTACTATATGTTAGTATTTCTTATAAAACAGAATCCTGCATTACAGCTTTGCGGCTTGCAGGTATGACATGAGTTGGTCTATCTCTTAAGGCAGTTGCCTCCATTAGATCCCCTTAAGAGGCTTGTCTTATAATTTTAGTGCAACTGTATCCTTTAAACTTGTGACTCTGGATACAAAAGAATTTCTAACAACTAATTCTATTTTTAAAAAAAGATACACTCTCTTTCAGACTGTATGTCTAACTTAAAAGTATATTTAATTATAGCTTTTACCCACTGCCTACTCTATCTTACCTATTCCCGCTAAGTGGTCGCGAATAGTGGTGATTTAGAAGCCAGTGGTCCACTATGAGTCAGACTGGAAGCCAGTTCCAAAATTATAAAGCTGATATGGATCACTGTCTTCAAAATAAAGCAAAACCTCCTTGTACACCTCCTTCCTCTGTCTCTTAAACAAGAGTAACCTGCCATGTGCACAGAATAAAGGGTAGGCATATAAAATGCTGTGACAGACAAGAACAGGTACAACAGGAATTTGAGAAATCAGACATGCTGTTGTCGCCACATTCCAGATGTACTTAGATACATCCATAGGTTGCACGAAGGGTTTTTTAAAAGCATATTAGAGGGGAAGTAGCCGTCTTGTTCTAAAGATATCCACATATGTATCAGAGGGATTGGTATGGGGTGGGGCTGACTTACCAACTTAGTATTTACACAGCTTCTGTTTGGTTTAGTAATAAGAAATAGTGCTGCAAAGGCCTGTCCTGAGTCTTCTATTGTTACCTTTCTTCCCCTCTTTCTTCATGGAGGATTTTAATCTGGCTTGACTTCATCTATCGTCCGTGGACAAATCAACTTGTGGTTAATAACTCTAGATGTCGTATTTCCTACCTTTCCGTCCTATACTTGCGCTGTTTCTGGAGCATGGTGGGTACTAGCACCTGAGTAATACCATCACCTTGCAACTTTCATCACCTTCGATCCCTTACTTTTATCACTTTTTCCTCTGTCTAACATCCAGTTCTTTCCCTTTTAACTTTTCCCTTACTTCCTCGTGCAACAGTTCCAATACAGAACTTTATCAGAGTTGAAAGTACTTCAACTTGTTTCGTCTCAACTTTTCTTCTTGGCTCACAATCTGTGACACTTCTGGTTTTAATATGGCCTATTTAGTATGACCAAATGCCACCAACTTTGGGTGTAACCTGAACAGAGGTCAGTGCTGGTAGAAGACCTCATGGGTAATCAGTCACAGTAGGACTTCCAGTCTTGACCTTGAATCTGTCATCCCAAATCATCTCTTCTCGCCCTTTGCTGACTCCCCCTAAATGGTTTCATTGTCTGCTGTACTTGAACCTATGTTATCTTTTCTGGTTAAGCAAGTCAGTTATTTTCTCCTTCAACTGCTGTTCATGAAATACAGCTCCTGTTGTAATGTTAGGAAATGGGCTGGAATGCTGTCCTATCACCTTTTCTTTAAGCTAAGCCTAAAGCATCCTGCCACCCCAGTCTCTCTCTTTCCTTTAAGGCCGTATGGCCAGAGGAGGAGACCCTGGGTCTGGGGCAGGGAGCACAGTGCTTGCATAAAAGCACACAGTTTCCCTTTTGGCTTACTTCACACCCTTAACTGGACAAGTCATTTCTCTTGAACTACCTCAGTGGGGCTTCAGACATCTTCAGTGTGGTTCAGCCACGTGCCAACGAATTTAACTCCAATCATGTTCTTGCTCTGCTGTCTTTCCCAGGTATTTCTCTCCTACCTGTGTCTGTTAGCTTTAATCCTCCTGAGGCGGAGCCACAACCCAGGCCACCTTGGGTGCTGGGGTGATGCCTGCTGTGTGCCCAGCAGCAGCTTGATGCAGAACGGGGAGCCGCTGCAATGACACTGGTGCGCATGGTACTCACTCAGGCCGCTACTATGACAACTAAGTGGCCTGAGTGCAGCAGGAGATGCTTGAATTGTAAAGTGCCTATGCACTGACAAGCTTAATTTTAAAAATCAACCTATAGCACAGTACAGCATCTGTAACAGTGGCATGCTTAAGGCCAGGAGTGTAATTTACATTTTCTTTCACTTCATTCAAGTGTCTTCCTTGCAGCACCCCAAGATTGAATAATAATGAGGTCCCTGTTAATACCACTCATATGGAAAGGCAGGCTTGCTAATGCTGACTCTCACCTGTGCATTTCTATGTGTGCATCGGAGAGCTGAAGCCTAAAGACGTGGGGAGAGCGCATTTCCCCTAATCAGGCATCAAAAGCAACTCAAACTAGTGGGAGTCTTAGAATATGGCTCTGGAGGCACCAGAGACATCGGGCACGCAGCCTCCACTATCAGTCAGACTACTGTCTGGCTGCATATTTTACCTTCTCTGTATCACCCAAATCCCTTGGAAACAGAAGCTGTATGTCCTGTATCATTTCCCTCATGGCATGGAGGATTAAACATATATTTCCTTAAGAGAGACTCCTCTGGTACGGCAGTGGGTTTTATCCTTCGATATATCATCACAGTGCCTCTGAAATTCTGCAGCATGCACACGCCACACATCTGCACCCACAGTGGAAGCCACTTGTGCGGGTGCCTTTTCCATGTCAGGTGACAAGCTGCTCCGAAAACCTGTACCTGTAGGGTTTCCTCCTCTCCAGCTTCACTCAAGTGACCTGGGGAAGCCCTTGCAGCCTCTGCCTGGACTCTCGTAACAGGAAACAGGAGGCTGTGTTTAATAGTGTCTGCCTGCTTACCTCCTTGACTCCTCACCTTTCTACCTTCGGGCCTGCTGTGTAGTGCAGAGAGGTGCACAAGAAGTATCTGTTGAAGGAAAGGACTGATACTGCACAGCAAAACTGTCAGAGAGAAACACAGTGACCCCTGGAGAGATAGGTTTAAGGAATGGCTGAAAGGCTACCTCGCACCCTTTCCCTGGAGTGAGCAGCCTCAGGGGGCCGGAAGAGCCTTCCTAGCATCTCTCACCTCGTCAACTTGTATCTGGAAATGAAGGCTTTGCCACAGTCAGCCTGCAAGCACTTGAAAGGCCGCTCCCTGGAGTGGGAATAGTTGTGGACAGTGAACTTCTCCAGGGTGAGGAATGTCTGGCCGCATAGCTGGCAGGGGAACGTGGCCATGGGCTTTGCCTCTCACACCTCTCTCTTCAGATGTGCTGACCCCAGGCTGTGCCATTTAAGCACAAGCGAAGGAAGGCGCTGGGCACATCAGCAGAGTCCCTGCGGCCAGACTCCAGAGCAGGGCAGAGGCTGTATCACCAACCAGGGCTACCAAGATGTGGAGCTCTCCGAGGACGCACCCAGTTCTCTTCCTGCTTCCCCTCCTTCCGGTTTACACACGCAGCCTTGAGATCCAGGCACAGGAAGAGGCTCTGCATTGCTACTGCTGGGTGGGGTCCCACATCACCAGACACCTGTGGAGACAAGAAGTCGCCTCGTGTCAGCCATGGCACAGCCTTGCTTCTCTTCCCTGCCACTTCAGAAGCGACCACCCACACTCGGCATGTTCCTCTAAATGGCTCTAATCGGCATAATTCTCCCCGTGCGCTTCAAGAGGCCCTTCTGCACGGAAGTCTGCCCATCTGCTTCTCCTGAGTGGTGCTATCAAGCCCAGGGCTGGGGTGCACTCCCTAGAGACAATGACGGCTCTTCCCATAGATTCGGCCTCAGTCACTGCGTGATTCAGGTCACTGTGAGGCTCCCTGACAAAAGACAAGAAAAACCCACCTTAGTGTGCTTTTAGGGTTTTACTGGTCATAAACAAAACTCCCGCCTCCTATTCAAACCATGGGTTTCCTCCTCCACGCACTGTTAGCATAAGCTACGTTGTTTATGACACCTGTTTAAACTTCCAGAGGATGAGAAGATATCATTTGTATAAGTCTAAGGCAATTTGTTTGCAAGATCACAGCGCACAAATACTGGTATAAACAGGAGTAGAGCTGGGGAGCCGCACGAAGAGGGAGTGTTTCCATGGAAATGAGACAGAGGCTGCTCCGAAAGCGCAGGCCACACTTCCACTTGTAGAACCGTCCTCTAGAAAGCTGTTCTGTCCACCTCTGCCCCTTTTCTTCATGAAGACATTGCCTCAGTCTTCACTTACCCCTGGGCGGGCAGTTCTAGGAGATGGGCCTGCCGCCTCCTCAAACCCAGCCAAAGCCACCCAACTCCAAGCTCTTTTTTCTCTCTACCGATGGACCCGCATTCCAGGAAACGCTTATAATGTCTAAGGCACCATCACCAGTAACACCGCCCATGAATAACTCAGTCAATCCGTGATGGCTGGAACCTTGTGCTATTGAAAAGAGTCATGGGGGGCGGCGGAGGCTGACCTTACAAGTGCCCCCACTTAACGATGTTAAAGTACAGATTCTCTGACACCTGCTTCACAGGTGCAAGGTCCTGAGTTCAATCCCTGGTACCGTAAATAAATAAATAAAGTACAGGTTGAGTGTACCAAATTTGAAAATCTGGAATGCTCCAAAATCTGAAAACTTTTGAGTGTTGACCTGCCACTACAACTGGAAAATTCCACACCCGACTTCATAGGATGGCTTATTTAAAATACCAGACAAACTAGAAATGTATAAAACTACCTCAGCTGCTGGTTAAAGTGTACATGAAATGCAAGTAGTTGTGTGTTTAGGCTTAGGTTTCATTCCCAAGATATCGCATATATATTCATTCCAAAATCCAAACAACACTGAAAGACCGAAACACATATTTCCAAACACTTTGGATAAAGGGTATTCAACCTGTCCTATATACCTGCACTACACACACTTGAGTAGCTCTTACACGTAAGGCCAGGCTTTTCTCAATGTTGCTAAGTAACCAGGGCAAGTCTGGAACAATCTGTTCACTACAGTTGGTCATCATTGCTAAGTCTAAGTTGCTCTTTATTGATAACAGTTGACTGTTACTTTTCTCAGTTACTTTTAACTAGAAAGCCAGACATAACTTTATTTTAATAGTTTAAGTACTTTTAAATATACTAGCACATGTACAAACATCCATTCCTATTTTAATTAGCAAAAATTATAGGAAACTTGCAGCATTCCTCATTTTCCATCCCAGATATTTTTAGTGCCTGGGCAGAGGTCACAGCAAACACACGTACCCCTTCCTGCCCTGTGCCATCGACTTGGAGCCTACAGAACTGGCTCAGGTGCACTGATGGGGGGACTAATAAAAAATGGGGGACTCACAGGCCTCCTCAGGCAGCATCTTGGCCCCAAACTTCCTTTCTGATCCAGTCACCAAGGGCAACTTCAGCTGGACTTCTGTCCCAGTTGTGCCCAACACCCTCCCCTCCAAACTCTCGTTCCCTTGCAGTGTTCCAGCTCTGCCCGAGCCCCTGCCCGAGGCCACCCCAACAGCCCTGGCCACAGAACCCTTCTAGGAGCAAGTGCTGAGTCTGCCGCCGGCTCCCACAGTCTGACCTCCCCTCATGCAACCTAAGTCTGGCCACAACACTCCTTCACTTGAAGCGGCTCTGTGTTCTTTCCAGATCTATTTTTCAAAGAATAAGACATATACAGATTATAAAATCTAAAATGCATGTTTTCTTCCTTTCTTGTGTAGCTAAACTCAAAATACATGTGTCACTTTGGAGTAGCCAGCTAGGTAGGAAGGGTTCTATAGTTCTCTCATCTACTTCCCAATTCCTGGCACATATATTTTTTTCACTTTATCTTGGTAAATTTACTCTCCTGTCTCTTGCCTTATGAGATAACTGTAAGTCCAACAGAACTGTCAGCAATGATGGCAATGCTAGGTATATCATGACTCTTAAACACTCAAAATGTACCACTGAGGAGCAGGAACTTATTTTGTTTAATTTTAATAGCCACATGTAGCTAACTGCAGCTGTGTGGAACAGGCAGATGCTTAGATTCCCTGGCAGGACAGATGTAGACAAGGCTAGCTTTCCTTGGACTTAATTTCATTCGCTCTCAGGTGTTTTCCCTGGAGTATGGGAGGAATTTGTATCGCTTGTTTTATAAACATAGTGGAAAGATTTCCCATTTCAAACTCCTGCTTACTCATGTAGGCCATATTCCAAGTTTCCGTTTCCTCTTTTCTGATAGTCACCCGATATATGTAAGAGGGGTGTGGGGGACAATCACCTGAGAGAAAATGACCTGGAAGCAAATTTTAATCTAAAAAACTGCCATACAGATGTTGTAGTATTTATGAGATTAAAGTAGAACTATGTGCCCATGTACGACTGATGGCTTCCAACAATTCAGTGATGGATATGATGGAGAAAAGACACATACTCTCCCTGTGTATACCCCATCTATTATTCATGTTGGGAGGAAGCTGTGTAGACAAGACACAGCAGAAGGAACAGAAGAAATGGGCAGCGATGAGCCCGTGTCCTGTTTCTCAGCAGATGTAAACCTCTACTGATTGCTTAGCAACATAAGAGGAGTACAAAGGAAAATTGGATCTATTCAAGTTTAAAAATTGCCCCTTGGATAAAGATTTTCAAATCCACTTTCCAGTCACTTTTCCCCTAGATTCACAAGCCCAGCAGTCATGTACATTGTCCATGCCTTCTCTTCTTTATAATGTTTTTTTTTTTTTTTGGTACTGGGGATCAAACTCACAATCTTGTGCTTGCAAGGCAGGCGTGGTGCCACCAAGCTAAATCCCCGGCTGTCCACGCCTTCTTTTCCTCTAGCATTCCAAGATGGTGACTATAATCAGAGCATTAGGCATGGTCGTGTTTCATTTAGGAGCGAGGCACTCGGTTCCTTCCTCATCGGGGTTCCAAACCTTCCCTCAAAAACAAAGTCTCTTAGTCTTTTTACACATATCCAACTTACTTTTTGAATGTTCTTCCCAAGACCTTATCTTGTGACTTGTAGGTTTGTGTTAAATATACCCAGCCTAACACAAAGTATAAAGTTGGCCCTCAAATGTTGAGCTGAATTATTTACATGATAGTGAACATACTTTAATTTCTTTGTGAAGACTTTAGTGATTAGCTCAAATTCATTAAAAGCTATAAAATTCCAGCCACCACAACTATGTATTTCATAAATATGGACCTTAGAATGCAAGTGTTTGCACTGTTCTCATGATATAAGCACTAACGTCTATAACTGTCTTTCCCAGCAGACTACACTGAGGATCAAAGCTTAGCTATTAAAATAAGTAAGTGAACTGTGTGGATATATGCAACATCTCATCTCTAGGCACTTGATCGGTACTGGCTATATACTGATGATTCTGATCTGTGGTTGAAACTTGATGCACTTTCTGGCCACATCCTTGAAAAAGACTTATGATTCCTTTCTACTGCCTGGCCTACCCGCAGTGATCTTAAGAAAACTGACAAAGTGCTGGTCCTGATGAGAGTCAGCCTGTTCTATGCCTCAAATCTGAATCTGAAATACAGTACTACTTCAACACCTGTCACCCTGGAAAGATAGTAAGTCTTCCCCCAAAACATTTCAGGACATAATTTTCAGTCCCCTTGATTCTAAAAATACTGAGTGATCTGCTAGGATGCCAAAGAAGGCTCATGCCATCTGCTTCATTCTGTTATGCTGATTATTTTAGGGATGAGAGAGGATCAGATGGAAATAAGAACATATATACACACACACACACACACACACACACACACACACATACATATATGGCAACAGCCAGGAAAGACTATGTCCCTGGGGGCTGGGGGAAACGGTGGCGAAGGGGAGGTCAGAGCACAAGTGGAGTTCCAGGATGTTCCTGGGGCCGCGTAACACAATCACCTAACGGGGGACAACTGTCTTAGAGCATTCTCAAAATAAACCATGACTTCTGGCTTCTACGTCCATTGTTCCCCATGATACAATGCAAGGCCATTTCTGAGCAGAAAATGAACCTCCATTTTTGGTCTTCTAGGATGGATGCTCTCACTTATTTTCACACTATTAATCACTACTTCTTAGGGATAAGAAGGTTCTACTCCAAATCTCTTCCTCATGACCCAGATATAATTATGTTAAGGCCATTTATTTATTTATTTATACTGGGACTAGAACTCGGGACCTTGCGCTTACAAGGCAGGCAGCAGCACCGAGCTAAACCCCCAGCCCTTTAAGGCCAATTTTAAAAGACCTCTACCAAAGTTATTTTACTCTATATCCACAATTAGGAAGCAGCCAGTCCTGGCACAGGGAAGACAGAAATTCTCCTTTTGTCTGGTCCTAGGAAGCATCTCAAAAACTTTTCTTAATATCAGTTCTTCGAAGGATTTGGGTAGCAAGTATCTATTAGCAAATTGAAAGAACTCCTCAGAAGCATCAGAAGAGGTAAGGAGCCCCAGAAGTTCTAGGTGTTCACTGCTGATTTTTTCTGTGTCTGTGTCATAAAATCTGCTGAGTGCTGTGCCTGAGTGAATGCTGGGTCAGAGAAGGTGGGCTCGTGGCTGATCAGCAGCAAAAGCTCCTGGCACGTGACCACCTCGAAGTACACATGTGAGGCTGCAACAA